TTTAAAGTGGAAATTTAAAGCCAGAACCTTAAAACTTCATCAAAACATTCACTTTGTTCTAAAACAGAGCCTCTCTTGGCCATAGATCTCATGTCTACACTAATTTTAGCAATTTTACGAGGTCTGGTTTAGGAACTTTACTGTAAACCCCTCCGATTGTCACTGTTATTTTTCAAAGTTAATGGCAAGGTGATGAAAAACTGTGCACCGGATTTGTGGCCAGGCCATTTATAGAGGCTGCGCTGACTCTGGTCCAGACTGTTTTGGCTGCAGCTCGGTAATTAGAGACAAGGAATCTCCTGCTGAAGGATGTGTCATTGTCAACACCATCGTGTCCCTACAGTTTGGAGCCGTGAGTACTTCTCTGCAGCATGGCATTTATATTTAAAAAGCAAAGCTAGTGGAGCAAAAGTTGCTAGTTGCTCCTGAACGCGTCTGAAGGAAAGACCAGAGAGAAAATGTGTAGAAGTTGTGCTGCTTCAGCTCCTCCTCAAACCCTTTGAACCAGTGTCTATTAGGTGACGCAGAGGCTTAGTGAAGAAAATAACACATTTTTTAAAGCTGCTGCATTCAGCACCAGAAGCACTTAAACAAACCTTCCTGTAGTTTATTGTCTCTGAACATCACATAGGCCCTGAATGAGTCATTTCGCACTGAGACATGGCTGTTATGGTATTAGCTCACAGAACAAATGGGAGATTATCAACGTAAAATTCTGAATAACGAGTTCCAGCATACAAAATAAAACAATCTCAAATATTCTTAGACAAATCAGATTCCAACCATCCCCAAATGAATAAAATATTTTTCATCCACTTTAAAGTTAAAATATATACACCATATTAAATCAACAAAAAACATATTTGGTGCCCTAAGACTGTAAGCAAACCTAATTTAGTCCTAAGCTAGCTTTATACTAAGAATGGTAAAGATTTCGCCTCGAATCAGAGGGGAAAATTTTACGTTAATGTTAGAGTTTCATGAGTATTGTTAGAGTCCAGCCCTCTAAGGCCAGTGTCCTGCACCTTTTAGATACACTTCAACTTTAACGGACCCTGTAGGACTTGACTTCAGCCAAGGCTTTAAACCATTTGATTCAGGTGGGTTGGACCAGGTAGACATCTAAAAAGTTGAAGGGTACCACCGGCCTTCAAAGACTTGAGTTTGGCATCCCTGCTTTAAAATAAAAGTACCGGCATCAGAAATGTTAATCATAAACACTCTAATATCCAGGCTTTATTATAAACCTTAAACTGACTGTGGCTGATGGAGTTAATCACCAAAAGAAAAAAATGCTGTTAAATTTAAACACTTCCATCCCTGGATGAGCTTCGAAAAAAAAACAAAGACTACCATTTAGAAATAAACACACATTGGGATCTACTGTAAAATCAGTCTTGTCTATTTGATTGAATGACATAGGACTTCCTGTTTGATGCGCTCACCTTTCTTCTTAGATCATGTAATGTGGATCAGATAATTGAGACCGAACTCCGATAAGTGCCGTAACACACCAGCAGATATACATCCTTAATGGATTGCAGTTGAGTACATGCTGACTTTCCACTGTGGCGTTTTTAAAGGAGCAGGCTCTTAGCTTCATCTCCTGCAGCTGTTTACATACCTCCCTAATCGTGGCTGTAATGTTGAGTTAGAAGCTACTGAAATGTAATTTTAGTCCATCAGCCTATATGAACAAAAAACACAAAACAAAAATGTTTAAATGCCAATTTACTTGGGTAATCAAAGAAGAAGGATTTGGTATATTAGAAATATGTTTTCATTTTAAAATACTAATGACTTTTGGTGAGGTCTATAAAAGAAACTTGATTATGTAAGAGAAAATTTCAATACGTTAGCTCATAAAATGATGGAAAATGATTTAAATCTGAAATGTAGCTCTTGAAAATGGGAGATGAGGTCATTTTCTAATTCTGCAAAGCCAGTTGGTTATTTATAAATAGACACTGATTTAGTACCGAGATCCTTCTGTTTGTCTGTCACTCTTCCTCTAGGGCAGTCACTTATTTAATAATCCAGAGCTGCCCATAGGATTAAAATAAAACTATTACCAAGCTTGGAGTCGTATAGCTGGTCACCGCCTCTAGGTTATACCTCCATCACTTCCAGGAGTCACAACTTCCAGTTTTAACTCTGGGTATGAAAAAAGTGCCTGGAAATAAAAAATATAGCTCCTGATAATAGATTTGGTAGCTGGAAACAGCAAGGTAACAAGCAACATTTGCAATCTGATGAAAGATGATCTTAGGAAATAAAAAAGGAAGGATTAAATTACTTGGTTAAGTGTTTAAATGGTTAATTATACATTTTTTTTATATATTTAAATATGAACAATCTTTATATTAACACCAAAAACACATTTTAAAAGAATCTGAACTATGTTTATATACCTATAATAATAGCAGGATTAAAGTTTGACAAACAAACTTAAAAATAATAAAAAATCATAAACAAAAGTGACAATTTGTGTGTTTTCGATTTTACTTAATTTTAAAAACAGAAATCATAGTTTTAAAGATTTAAATATCCATAGAGTTTAGGATTAAATACATCTCAAACAGTTTATTGGTAAAAATATGATTGTATGAGAAAATTAACGTTTAGAGTTGAAAAGAGGAACCTTTTTTAAAACTGCTAAAGGATTTTTAAAACATAACAAGTAACGTTATGAGGAGATTTAGAGGTTTTACAGTTTGGGAGGAGCAGGAAGAAGTTTTTCCCCCACACTAACTTTAAGCTGTAAAGCAGACCTCATAATGGAGTTTATTACAACAAGACCGCCGAGAATAAGAAGGTTTTTTTTTTTCTTCTTCTTTCTCCAGCTTCCTTCCCAGTTGGCATTCCTCTCAGCTCAAACTGGATTCTTCTTTACTTCCTCGTCAAATGGCCTTTTCCTTAAAGAGTGGGCTCTTTGTTTCAGCTGCGATTCGCTGGCAGACATAAAAGCAGGCGTTCGACATTTGAAACTATTGTGCACGTTGGTCTGCTTTAGGCTGAGGGGGAGAAAAAAAAAAAAAAAAACTTGCTCTCACTTTCCAGAGCTACCAGTGGTAGATGCGAAACCACTAGATGTACAGTTTGCTCATCATGGGACCGACGCAACTCTGTACTGCAGGGTGAACGACTCTGGTACTGCACAGTGTTTGTTTTACACCCGCACCTATAAGTTCTCACTCAGTCCCATGACCTTTGACCCCTCATTCCACTAAAAATGCCTCAAACGATTTCAAAAACACCTCTGCACCAATGAAAACACTTTTTTTTTGTCAGTGGACAGTGTTTCATAAATTTTCTGTCAAACCGTTAAAACTGGTTTTAAAATACCTCCGTAGAAACCTGTTGGTGAACTCTCACTAATCATATTCAGAGATGACTCATTTATTTCACCTGGCTGACATCATCGCTTTAAGGTGTGGCTCCCTGACGCTGTAAAACCAAATGAATCATAGATATCATGAATCAAACAGAGCCTGAAAACGTAAACCTGCTCAGGATTTTAAAGAAAAGCAATGTCAGGGGGCATTTCATGAAATCCACTTAAGATGTCAGATAAAGAATTCAGGGAGCTTAAAATTCAAGGATCAGGCATGTCTATGACAGTCAGCACAGTGTATCAGTGGCACCATTGCAAGTGAAGGATAAGAGTTAAGAGGCAGTTGCCTGAGCTTCCAACAGTTAGGCCTCGTCCAGACAAAGCTAGGTTTGGGTGAAGAGCAAACTTTTAGGTCCCGCCAAACGAAGCAGCTGCAGAACCAACAACATGTAAACTTGCCTCCAGAATGCAGACATTTAAAGCCACACAAACTGGTGTGTTTAGTTCAATTCAGTTTATTTATATAGCGCCAATTCACGACATTTCATCTCAAGGTACTTTAGAGTCAGCTCAAAGTTTTCTATCTAAGGAAAACCAGATGATTGCATCGACTCATTGAGACAAAAGCAATTCCTCTCACTGAGCATGCATGAAGCGACAGTAAAGAGGAAATGGCACACGTGAGCCAATGCAGACCTCGTTATGGGTGCACTGAAAAAAAAAAAAAAACAATGGCTGACTTATTGTTAAAATTGAATTTCAGAGGCCCTTCCATTCATTGAATCCCTTTTAAACGCCACTGAATTACACCAAAACAAAAGGTTCTTTACTGACACCTGAGTTAGAGGTTAAGTGAAAAAAATTGAAAGAATATTGCAGTTAATGACTGACTGTTAGATGCTAAATGAACTGCCTGATGATGATACATAGCAGTACAGTGGATGTCACCACTTCTAGATGTGTCACTTCCTTGGAGCTAGAATCATTTAACAAAGCTTTGCCCTGCATTGACTCAACACTTCTCAAACCATTGTTCCTTTAGCAGAATTAAGGTGGCCTGGAGACGTATAGCTGCTCTTTCATGCATCCATCTGCATGAATATTGCAAAAAATAAAAATAAAATCATCCAGGTAAACTAGAACATACCAGAAACACCAAGCGTTCATTCAACAAGTGGCTTCTGCAGACCCAGAAGCTCTGTTTGACTCAGAGGTTCAGATTTCTATTAATAGCTCTTCGGGACTTTTAACCCCCCTTTTCTTTCTTTATTGGAGGAAACCAGAAAAAGAGGTACGGAAATACCAAAGATCCACTGGGACCTGGTCCAAACTCCCCCTCTGAGGTTCCCAATACATATTTCATGTTTCAGTGAAACACCTCCAGCAATCCCACTGAGCCCCACAGAGCGTCTGTCATGGATTTATTGCAGATATGATTACGTTTATTGCACCTTTATACCATCAGCAGGAACTGTTGGGTTTACAACAACCCGATAAAGCACAATTACACCACAATTTGCATGATGTATCACTGAGAAAACACGCAAATGTGTTTTAATAAAAACTATCTGCTGCAGAAGTTTCTGATCATCCAAGCTGCTCATCTGAAGATGCTTTAGAGGAGTGGGATTACTGTAAGAGTAGATGAGCTGCAGATTTCTCTTACCTCAGTGAAGAAGTTATCCATTGCTCCTTTATTTTAATCCCAGGGGATTTACTGTATGAAAACCGCGCGTCCAACTCATTCCAAGCTGAATGATTTTCAGATTGGAGCGTTTCAGCGCATCCTCTTCATTGCTGTTAGTGCGCTGCTGGATGGTCCTTCAGACAGTCCGTTTGGAGCTGCAGGAGCACATCTGCTCTTTGTTTCATGAGTTATTCATCGAGAAGGGAAACTTTCATTTCTTCTAGCCAGGCTGCGTCCTGCACACCGCGCGCCTCGGCTGCGCCTGGATGTGGATCACTGCGATCTGCGCCTGTTTGGAGAGAGGCGTCAGGAGAAGGGAAGGACCGGACGGAGGAAAAGCCGGGGAAACTTTGGAGGCACTTCTCCCAGAGAGTCCATCGCCCAACCCCCTGGACAATAATGGAAGAGCTCCTCCTCCTCCTCCTCCTCCTCCTCGTCCATTCCTCCTACTCTACAGCCATCCTCCTCCTCACTGACTCCCCCTACTGTAAGGGTCAGATATTAAAATACACAGTTAAAGTTTTTTTTACTGTCTTATTCAGACTAAACATTTCATGTTTTAGTCCATGTTGCATCTAACTGTGTTATTTCTATCTGCTTATCTACACGATGGGGGAAATAATAATATTTACCCCAAGGTTTATATATTTGCTTTAGCATTTTGTTCTAAAGCGCCTTTATTGAGCTTCTCAGAATAGTTTGGGAGAATTTTGACCCATTTCTTCAGCCAGGACTGATATAACTGTGTTGGGTTTAAAGGCAGCCTTTTTCACACTCATCTTTTGAGCTCATATTTATAATTCCACAAAACATTGACTTTGTTTTCTTCAAACCTTTTTACTGCTAACAGTGGTCCTTTGCTGACAGTGATTGACCATTTCAAATACCCATTATTTTCAAGCCTAACTTCCTGTTTGTTGTTTTAACATGTTACTAAAATAATTATTGTCTTTCTCTCTGATGTCCCTTGTTTTGTGAGGTGCATCAGTCACTTTGACAGTAAAACCTCCATAAAACATAATACTGCCACCACTTTACTTTAGGCTTGCAAAATTGCTCCTTTTCCACACTTCAGTTGTTTGGCCAGCACCCTGGACCTTTAGGTTCTGCTCCCTGGAGGGTAAAGTACCCGAAAAAATATATTCTATTAAAAGTATCATTACTTCATCATATTTTTACTCAAATAAAATAAAAAAGTTGCCATCCTTAAACTTACTCCAGCAAGAGTGAAAAAGTATGGTGTAACTACGCCAAGTTAAATAAAATATAAAGTTATATGCAATTTCTGGTGTTTAAAAGACTGAGATAAAAAATAAACATATAGCAAACAGTGATTACATAATAGCAAATGTGGGTGGAATGAACGCTTGTCAAAATACATTGTCTTAGTTATAAAACTTACTATATTAATAGTTTCTACTGCTTACTGGATTTTCAGATTCAACAAATGGAAAATAGAACTAAACCAATAAGTTTTGAGAGCGGGCAAGAAGAAAGTCTTTCTCCATCTGCTGAATTAAAACAAGCTTGATTTTATGAAGCAAAGTTACTCACAATGCGTAGAGTAGCCAGAAATTTTACTCAAGTACTTTTTTCATATTTTTACTCAAGCAAAAGTAGAAAGCACAATGCTATAAAATGACTCCTAAAAGTATTTTTCTTTCACTTTGATTTTTACTGTATTTTATGTCATTTCCTCTTTTTTTTCACTTTCTGTGCAGTTTGGTGTAGTTCTGGTCATCTTTGTGAAAAGCTGTTGGATATATGGTGTTTTTGGTTGTTATGAGCATGATTATAAGGTCTGGTTCAGTGTTGGTTTGGCTGATGGCTCATCTTATTATACCTGAAGGGACACTTTCACCCTCTCTCTTGATTTCCTGTAGCTTTACAGTCTGAGGTGTGCTCTATGTGTAGTTCAGCAGCGTCTCCCCAGGTACAGTTAAAAAAGATGGATAAAATTTCTGTCTCAAACAATAAATGCAAGGACACACTTACTGTGCAAAATGAATCCATGGTCATAAAAACAAGAATTGTTTTAAATTTTACATTTCTAGTATTTTTAATACCATTAAATGTAATTGTTTGCTAAATGGAGCAAAACTAGCATTTGTTTTTTCCTCTTTTATGTCTCCCATTGTGCATGAAACCAAGTCAACTGCAAATCAGATATTTGCAACTTTAGTTTATCTTCTTCCACTCCAAGGGTAACTTTAAGTGCACTAAGTTTATTATTAGTCATGACTTTAAATAACCCAAACATTAATTTCACAGATAGGAATCAGAGTAAGATAGGGCTCCCAGTCTCTGCAGTAACTTAACATTCCCAGCTTCTCATTGTCATTTGGCCAGTAAATAGTCATTGGTTATTACAGAGCACAGCTGACATGTTTTGTTAGGGCGTTGTGTTTCCATGTTAATGTGTCTCTGATAATCTGTGAACTCCTCCCACCTTTTTCTCTCAGAGGTGGTCACTAAATGTAACAGCTTTGCACAGGTCACCTGTCACCATGGTAACACCTGACCTATAATTAGCAGTCACCGACAGAGTTTAGACAGCACTAGATGATCACAGCCTTGACCCCTTTCCTCATGAGGATTCAGGGTCAGGCTGTAGTTAGATGCAGCAGGGAGCTCCGCCCACCTTTTGTCAGACCCTCATTAGGCTGATTGCTGCTCCACCTCCTCTCTCAACCCTTTGTGTGAAGGATTTTTGGTGCTTTGACATGTAGGTGGTGATTTAGAGTGACAGACAGATCCCTCTCTTGAGTGATGCTCCTCCACTTAGCTGCTGCATGTTTCATCCTGCACTGCTGCTTACTGATGAATTGTTTGGTATATCTCACTGTTTAGGCCCATTTGTAGAACACTTACCTCATTAAGGTGCACAATGGGTAGGCACAAGATAAGTTGGATGTTTTATTAGGAAAAAAAAATAGTTCACAATAGCAAGATTGAAGAATAGAATCAAAGACACTGGGATAAATGCTTAATGTTTGATTTTATTTTGAATAAAAGTCCCTGTTTGGGTTTAGATTAAATGCTGGTTTAGCCTAACGTATAAGGAAACTAAGCAACTTATTATGGGCAACTAGGGGCACTGGGGCCCAAAGTAATTGTTTAGTTTTGTTTGTTTTGCATATGCAATGGTTCCTCTATGAATAAACTGTAACAAAAACACACAATTTCATGATATAGTTTTTTATTTTTTTGTGTCAATATACCTTTAATCAAGTAGAAATCAATACTCATTCTTTAATAGATAATTAATAGGGTGAGATTGACACACTAGTGATATTTCATGAAACCAAGTCAGAAAAGTCAGACTTAGATGCCAAATTCTGACTCAACTTAGATACAGCATGTTAAGTCCCCATCATTGGGTTTCACTAAAATGACGAACGTTTGCTAAATGGCACTAATTCAGGACAGGTTCAACTAATCATTGTTGTCTCTCACATCAGCAGACCGCAGTGGACCATGGGAAAAGTGAATGTGTTTGGTATTTTATTGGTAAAAAGGTAAAAGAGCTCAGAAAATGTAAATGATTGTAGGAAAATGTTGTTAAATATTCCATTTAATCTAGCCTGGAGAGCTTAATCGTAACTTTAGACCTAAACAGCCTTCCATAAAAAAAAATCTTAGTCAGCAAGAATCTTGCTTGGACTAAAATAAAGGCAGCATATTGTAATCCAAGAAGCTAGACTTCTTCCACAGATTTAGCTATCCTAATTACACCAGCAGTGAGAATGCAGGTGAAAACAAAGTACAAAAAGCTCATCCAAAATGTTAACTCTGATAAATCACACTGTCTTTATTTCAAGAAAGCAACAAAAATATATATACATTTGGAATCTGGACTAGATTTTTACATTTAAAAAATCGTATTCATATACTTATATTGCAGCCGCAAAAACAAGCAAACAAAAAAAGTAATGTAACAAAGACTGGGGGGGCGGCCCTAAACAGTTAGGGAATGATTGGAGTTGTTCTGTGGGAGACCTGAGGTCCAGTTCAAGTGTTTAAGGAAATGTACCTTTCTTCAGAAATTAGTAACGTTAATGCAGATATGTGTCAAGTGAGAAGAAAGGGTTATTTTGATCTCATAAGAAGCGGGATGCACAGTCACTCCCTCACTCCTTCCAAGGTTCTTTTCAGAAATATATTTATATATTTCATTTATAAATTCAGCTAATGCCGACCTGTTTGCTAAAGTTATAAAAGAAAATCGTGACTATTATAATTATCACATTGCATAAAATCAATTTTGTGTTGTGTAGCTTATAACTTGTTGGCATTTCTGATGGCACCATGCATTTGGGCCAAATGGCGATGTTGATAATCGCCTTTCTGTAACGGTCTGATCCCCCTGGTCCTGGATTCAACAAAGAAGACGCCTAGCTTGACCTTGGTTGGTTCTAATCTTGTCCTGACTGGGTTACGTATACTGGGTCAATTACCATAGTTAGATGTTCTATAGCATCAGAGGACCTCCTCTCCTCACTAAGCTGAAAATGAGACGTGAGTTCTACCTGAAACACTGGGTAGCTTCGATGGTGATCTGCTTTCTTCCTGAGACCTTTGCATTTGCAGAGCAAAGCTTTTCCAAACTCGCATGAATAAAGAATGACCTGAAACCTTCCATGACAGAGGAATGATCCAGTTGTATGATAAACAAATTCAGCAACCAGCTCCCTCATTGACTTTGCAAACAGAGGAGCTGTGAAGCACAGGTTTAAAGGGGTGATTAGAGTTAGAGAGGTTTATGTCTTTAATAGAGCTTTTACATATAGTTGCATACACTAAGGAGCTAGATATTCAACTTTACATCTTATTTTATTTTCTACCTGGTATTTAGAAACATTTCATTTGCATTATTTAAATAAGTAACTCCAAAATAACTTAATTAATAACAAACCTGGTTTCTTTGCTGTTTTTGTACTAAAGGTTTGTTTGAACATTGCTATTATAGTTGAAACCACATTGAAACACTGCATTTTTAGAGTAAATAAACTGCATTCTAGTTTAGTTTCCTTACTTTTAGCATAGAAAATAGGAGACTGTGCAGCAGCACTGACAAAACCACAATGGTTTTATAGTAGATGTGTGAACGATCGGTTTATTAGAACATATTAGGACACTGTTTAGTAGAATATTTATTTATTCTCCCACTTTCAACCTCTGTGCTGTTCTGTTTAGCAGGGACGACACAAGCCTTCATGGGGCTGTGAGCTACATTTGATAGTGGTAACCTCTAGATGTATGAAAACTGCTGTGCATAGATTTCCTTTCAAATTCAAATCTGTTTGATCTTAAATTCATTTTATGATCAACAAAAAAGAAAGGTTAAAATCTTCTCTT